TGAATTAAGTGAATGAATTAATTAATTCATTTAATTCGGGGCCTTGGCCGGAGAATTAAATGAATTAAATGAATTAAATGAATTAAATGAATTAAATGAATTAAATGAATTAAATGAATTAAATCGGGCCTCCCCGTCTCAGAGATCCCAGCCCATTTAAAGAATTACATGAATTAAATGAATTAAATGAATTACATGAATGAAATAAATTAAGTGAAGTAATTAATTAATTCATTTAATGCTCCGGCCAAGGCCCCGAATTACATGAATTAAATGAATTAAATGAATTAAATGAATTAAATGAATTAAATGAATTAAATGAATTAAATGAATTAAATGAATTAAATGAATTAAATGAATTAAGTCGGGCCTCCCCGTCTCAGAGATCCCATCCCATTTAAAGAATTCAAAGAATTAAATGGATTAAATGAATTAATTACTTCATTCATTGAATTCATTTAATTCGGGGCCTTGCCTGGAGAATTAAATGAATTAAATGAATTAAATCGAGCCTCTGGACGGGAGATCTCAGGCCATTTACAGAATTAAATGTATTAAATGAATTAAATGAATTAAATGAATTAATTAATTAATTCATTTAATTCATTTAATTCGGGGCCTTGCCGGGAGAATTAAATGAATTAAATGAATTAAATGAATTAATTAATTAATTCATTTAATTCATTTAATTCGGGGCCTTGCCTGGAGAATTAAATGAATTAAATGAATTAACTAATTAATTCATTTAATTCATTTAATTCATTTAATTCTTTAAATAGCCTGGGATCTCGGATAAGAGCTAAGTGTCATTTCCACATGCGTGGCCGGTGGCTGCGTGGACGTTTCCGTGGTCTGCGTGGCCCGGCTTATGGTCTCGTTTCACAGAATTACATGCTGATAGGGGCTCTGGTGCGTTTAGGGCGGTGGCCAAAACGCACTGAGCTCTTTTTCTCGGCGATTAGCACTGTGCATAAACCCTAACCCTAAACCCTAAAGCCTCCCGAGTCTAGGGGTTTAGGGGCACGACCCAGGGCGTTCACGGCGTTGAGGGCTTAGGGCAGATGTGGACCTTCAGATATTGGGGTTTTTGGTTTATGCAAAACGCACTTCCCCCTTCCGCCCCCGCTCTTCCCCTCCCCTCCCCGTGCGTTTTGGGGGGCCTGCAAAACGCACCCCCCCCTTTCCCCCGTCTTCCCCCCCCCCCCCCTCACCCCCCCCCTCCCCTCCTCCCCCCGTGCGCGTGCATTTTGGGCAAGAACTGCAAACCGCCTCTCCCCCCCGCCCCCCGCCTCCCGCCCCGCCCCCCCCTCCCCCCCCCCCGTGCGTTTTGGAAGGCCTCGAAAACGCACTGCTTCCTCCCACCCTCCAGTTGCAGCTCCAGTTGCAAGCAAAGTGCGTTTTGGAAGGCCTCGAAAACGCACTGCTTCCTCCCACCCTCCAGTTGCAGCTCCAGTTGCAAGCAAAGTGCGTTTTGGAAGGCCTCGAAAACGCACTGCTTCCTCCCTCCCTCCCTTTCTCGGGTCCCTAAAAAAACACATCCGTGGACAATGGGGTCCGTGGACAGTTCCGTGGCCTGCGTGTACGGATGGTCTCCGTGGACAGACACTTGCGTGGATATGACACTTAGGATAAGAGGGGCCCGATTTAATTCATTTAATTCATTTAATTCGGGGCCTTGCCCGGAGAATTAAATGAATTAAATGAATTAATTAATTAATTCATTTAATTCATTTAATTCGGGGCCTTGCCTGGAGAATTAAATGAATTAAATGAATTAACTCGAGCCTCTGGACGGGAGATCTCAGGCCATTTACAGAATTAAATGTATTAAATGAATTAAATGAATTAAATGAATTAATTAATTAATTCATTTAATTCATTTAATTCGGGGCCTTGCCGGGAGAATTAAATGAATTAAATGAATTAGTTAATTAATTCATTTAATTCATTTAATTCGGGGCCTTGCCTGGAGAATTAAATGAATTAAATGAATAAATTAATTAATTCATTTAATTCATTTAATTCATTTAATTCATTTAATTCTTTAAATAGCCTGGGATCTCGGATAAGAGGGGCCCGATTTAATTCATTTAATTCATTTAATTCGGGGCCTTGCCCGGAATATTAAATGAATTAAATACATTAATTGATTAATTCATTTAATTCATTTAATTCATTTAATTCGGGGCCTTGCCTGGAGAATTAAATGAATTAAATGAATTAAATCGAGCCTCTGGACGGGAGATCTCAGGCCATTTACAGAATTAAATGTATTAAATGAATTAAATGAATTAAATGAATTAAATGAATTAATTAATTAATTCATTTAATTCATTTAATTCGGGGCCTTGCCGGGAGAATTAAATGAATTAAATGAATTAATTAATTAATTCATTTAATTCATTTAATTCGGGGCCTTGCCTGGAGAATTAAATGAATTAAATGAATTAACTAATTAATTCATTTAATTCATTTAATTCATTTAATTCATTTAATTCATTTAATTCATTTAATTCATTTAATTCATTTAATTCATTTAATTCATTTAATTCTTTAAATAGCCTGGGATCTCGGATAAGAGGGGCCCGATTTAATTCATTTAATTCATTCAATTCGGGGCCTTGCCCGGAGAATTAAATGAATTAAATGAATTAGTTAATTAATTCATTTAATTCATTTAATTCGGGGCCTTGCCTGGAGAATTAAATGAATTAAATGAATTAACTCGAGCCTCTGGACGGGAGATCTCAGGCCAGTTACAGAATTAAATGTATTAAATGAATTAAATGAATTAAATGAATTAATTAATTAATTCATTTAATTCATTTAATTCGGGGCCTTGCCGGGAGAATTAAATGAATTAAATGAATTAAATGAATTAATTAATTAATTCATTTAATTCATTTAATTCGGGGCCTTGCCTGGAGAATTAAATGAATTAAATGAATTAATTAATTAATTCATTTAATTCATTTAATTCATTTAATTCTTTAAATAGCCTGGGATCTCGGATAAGAGGGGCCCGATTTAATTCATTTAATTCATTTAATTCGGGGCCTTGCCCGGAGAATTAAATGAATTAAATAAATTAATTAATTAATTCATTTAATTCATTTAATTCGGGGCCTTGCCTGGAGAATTACATGAATTAAATGAATTAAATCGAGCCTCTGGACGGGAGATCTCAGGCCATTTACAGAATTAAATGTATTAAATGAATTAAATGAATTAAATGAATTAATTAATTAATTCATTTAATTCATTTAATTCGGGGCCTTGCCGGGAGAATTAAATGAATTAAATGAATTAAATGAATTAAATGAATTAAATGAATTAAGTAATTAATTCATTTAATTCATTTAATTCGGGGCCTTGCCTGGAGAATTAAATGAATTAAATGAATTAACTAATTAATTCATTTAATTCATTTAATTCATTTAATTCATTTAATTAATTCATTTAATTCATTTAATTCATTTAATTCTTTAAATAGCCTGGGATCTCGGATAAGAGGGGCCCGATTTAATTCATTTAATTCATTTAATTCGGGGCCTTGCCCGGAGAATTAAATGAATTAAATGAATTAATTAATTAATTCATTTAATTCATTTAATTCGGGGCCTTGCCTGGAGAATTAAATGAATTAAATGAATTAATTAATTAATTCATTTAATTCATTTAATTCGGGGCCTTGCCTGGAGAATTAAATGAATTAAATGAATTAAATCGAGCCTCTGGACGGGAGATCTCAGGCCATTTACAGAATTAAATGTATTAAATGAATTAAATGAATTAAATGAATTAAATGAATTAATTAATTAATTCATTTAATTCATTTAATTCGGGGCCTTGCCGGGAGAATTAAATGAATTAAATGAATACATTAATTAATTCATTTAATTCATTTAATTCATTTAATTCGGGGCCTTGCCTGGAGAATTAAATAAATTAAATGAATTAACTAATTAATTCATTTAATTCATTTAATTCGGGGCGACTTGGCTGCAGAATTAAATGAATTAAATGAATTAATGTATTGTGTCCAAATAGACCCCAAAGGCCCCTCTCACATATATATATACATATATATACATATATATATATATATATGTGTGTGTGTGTGTGTACATGAAGACGGCGGGTAGCGTGGGCCTTGGAACATAATTTCCGGTGGATTTTGGGAGGGTGGTTCAAAAAATATTTTTTTTCTATATATTTATTTACATATATGTATATCACGACAGCTAGCTAGCTCCTTTTAGAGCTTGCGTCGTTCTTGATGATCTCGGCCTCATCTGGTTCATCAATAGCTAAAAGGTGCGCGATTGACCTAATCTACTCATCGTTTTGGTCACGCCGCCCCCCCCCCCCCCCCCCCCCCCCCCCCCCCCCCCCCCCCCCCCCCCCCCCGCCCCCCCGGAGGCGAAGTCGAGCGCTAATTTGAATGGCGGGCACAATGCACTGCGCTTTGGGTTCCCAACGGGATGGCAGATCCAAAGCTCCTTCAGAAGTCTTCCCAACAAGCGGAAGCTCACATTGCCACCGCGCCGGCCAAAGCCTGATCATCGTCTTGAAAGCTGTAGATGTATGGTACCGGCCTTGGTGCCACGACCGACACATTCCACAGTGGCGTTCGGCAATCTCTGAGCCGGGGGTGCAAGGAAGCCCGAGTCTGCTAGGAGTCATTGAGCGGGTCAGAGCAGCATGCACAACACCGACTGAGTTTTGGGCGGTGGTGGCGCGCTGCCACTGCCGGCAAACTGAGAGGCTGCATGTTGACAGGGTCTGCGCTTTAGGGTTTAGTTTAGGGGTTGGGCGTTTCGGGGCTCGGGCTTTATGTTTATTATAGTTTAGTATTGTTCATTATAGTTTATTACAATTTATTTTAGTTTATTATAGTTTATTCTAGTTTATTACAGTCTATTATTGTTTATTATAGTTTATTATAGTTTATTATAGTTTATTATAGTTTATTATAGTTTATTATAGTTTTTTATGATTCAGGGTAGGATGGGATGGCTCTCCGGGGGCCAGGCTGGCTGCATTTTCACCACCATGGACTGCGGAGTGCACTCAACGCTCAAGTCGAAGGTGGCCTCCCATTTAAGGCAGGGGGGGGGGGTCTGTAGCTTAGGGGGCACCTACTATGTAGGGTACCAGGAAGGGGCCATCATCTTAAGAACCCTCCATACGGTCTATTCCCCACATGATGGACTCCGGGATGTTCCTGCTATCATATATACACCGCCTGTTGCTTGTAGGGCACTCAAAAAAAGGCCTATCAGTGACTCATCGGCGAGAGGCTGGCTGTCTGACGACAGGCCTTCAGCTTGTGCCCGACAACGGTCATGGCCATCTCTCCCTCCTGCAACTGCGGAGCAGAATCTCGCATGTGTGACGAGGACCAATGTGGTGCGTGAGGCCTTTGAGAAGGAGTATCTCTTTTCCACTCCATTCTCCATCTTCCCGACCTGGCGTTTGAGCCGAGCCACCAGCTTGAATCCCAGCACTCTGCAAAAAAGCCAAGACACTTCAGCAGCAGAGGGCGTAGGGCTCAAAACCCTAAACCCTAAACCCTAAACCCTAAACCCTAAACCCTAAACCCTAAACCCTAAACCCTAAACCCGCCGGGGGCCCGGCCCAGTCCACGCCACACAGCCTTTGCAGGGCGATCGCCTCGCGGGCCTTCCGCCGCACGCGAGAGAGGTGCGTGTTGTTGGCCTTGGGCACAAGGTATCAGGGGCTACTCTTTCTTCGGGGCTCAGGGCTTTGGGCTTAGGGATTCGGGCTGCGAGTTTCCTGCGTAGGGTTCTTTGTTGGGAGGGGCGGGGGATGTTCAAACTGGTGTGCACAGGGGCTACACCCTTCAAATAACCCTAAACAAACTACGAAAACCTAGACCCCAGAAAAAACCTCAACCCTGACCCTAACACCCTAAAAAACCTAAACCCGAACCCTGAAATCCTAAAATGCCTTTACACTAAACCCTCAACCCTCAACCCTCAACCCTAAACCCTCAACCCTCAACCCTCGACCCTCAACCCTCGACCCTCAACCCTCAACCCTCAACCCTCAACCCTCAACCCTCAACCCTAAACCCTAAACCCTAAACCCTAAACCCTAAACCCTAAACCCTAAACCCTAAACCCTAAACCCTAAACCCTAAACCCAAACAAAACCCCCCCGAAGCTCGGCCTGCACCGCGATGCCTGCGTTGGCCGCGGTCTCGGCCTGCTCGTGGAGCCCCAGATCCAAGAGGGCCTTCGAGGCACCGGGTCTTAGGGTCCCTAGGGTTTAGGGGTTGGGGTTTAGGGTTTAGGGTTTGGGGTTTAGGGTTTGGGGTTTAGGGATGTTTAGGGTTTAGGATTTAGGGTTTAGGGCAGGGCCTTAGGGTGACGGGTTTAGGGGGTTTAGGGCTTTAGGGGGTCATGCGCAACGTGCACCTGTTGCTTGCAGAGCAGCTACAGATTCTCCAGCTTTGTTCGAAGAACACTAGAAACCTTGAATCCTCAACCCCTAACCCAGAAAACTGCCTTAAATCGGAACCCTGAACCCTAAACCCAGAACCCCAAAACCCCAAATCTCCCAAAACCCAAAACCACCCAAATCCCCAACACCACCCAACCCCCAACAAGATCCAAAACCCCCCAAACCCCCAAAACCCCCAAACAGACCCAAAAAGACCGCAAACCCCCCAAGACCCCCCCCCAAAAAACCATCCAAATCAAAATCTCAAAAAAAAAAAAAAAAAAAAAAAAAGAAATCTCCAAAACCAGACAAGTCCCCACAAAGACCCAAAGCTCCCCCGCCTGGGCTCGCCGCCAGAAGGCCTCGGGTTTCCGCGCAGGGGCTGGCGATTAGGGCCCCCTTTTGGTGACTAGGGCCCCTTGAGTTTAGGGTCCCTTGCGTTTGGAGTCCCTTGGGTGTAGGGTTTAGGGTTTATGGTTTAGGGTTTAGGGTTTAGGCTTTAGGCTTTAGGCTTAATTAGGACAAAATCCTGAGCCCGAAAGGCGACCCTTGACCCCTCAACCCTGAGACCTGGACCTTGATGTTCTCCTTGGACGTGTCCAACTCCAGGCTGCGGTCGGCGTCTGCCAGAGCTTCCTCGCACATGCCCTGCGCCAGGCGCGCGCGAGACGAGGGTGCGGCTGCTAAGTATGGGGGGGGAAGGAAGGTTTGAACCCTAAACCCTAAACCCTACACCCTAAACCCTAAACCCTAAACCCTAAACCCTAAACCCTGGTAGGGAGTATGCACTCCCAGCAGGGGCCCGCCCCCCACAGCTCTGCGTTGGGTTCCCTCGCCTGCTTCAAGTAGGCCATGGCCCGGTTGTTCAGCAGCACCGTGCTCTCAGGCTGCAAGTCTAAGGCCTTCATGGGAGTTTAGGGTTTAGGGTTTAGGGTTTAGCGTTAGGGTTTAGGGTTTAGGTTTAGGGATGATGGGGGAAGGTAGGGGAAGATGGGGGAAGATGGGGGGATGGGAAGATGAGTGACCTTCAGCAAGTGAACACCCATGAGGACGCTTGTTGCCCCTGCCTCACTGTACATCATCGAGGCCTCAAGTGCGCAAATTTATCTAGAAGAGAAGCTAGAACAATCATTGCAGTAGCAACAAGAAGACGAACTCTTTGGGAGCTCTTGCCTGCACGTACAGGCCGAGCTGAAAGAACTGGTTGCCTCGCACATACAAAATTTCTCTGAACTGTGGTCCGTTTTGGGGATCCTGCGAGAATACAGAGTCTTTACATAGGGTTCAGGGTGGTCCCTCGATGTGCTCCACAAGTCAGCTTTTTCACACACGTCCGGGCTGCGCTATCAAAGCTACCTACTACAAGGGGCCCTTGAGAACCACACCTCAGAGAGAGAGAAGCCCTGCAGCATGGACTCTGAACCCACGGCGTGGCCTTGTGACTTCAGCTTGTCGGCATTTGATTCAATGCCCTGGTCGGGGGAAGGTGCTCTGCAAGAAAATTTAGATCCACTGAGCTGCAGCTATGGATTCATGGCATGATGAGTCACTTCAAGGGTACGTACGAAACGATTGGGGAAAAGTACGCGAACTCGTCAGCAGTGGGGTAGCTGCAGCGTACTGATCTGACCGCTGAGCGTGCAGCATTGCCTCCTGCTTGGCACGCATCCCATCCAAGTTTCTGCGGAAGTTCAGAAACTCATCCTTCCGTTGTCGCACTTCCTCCTCATCCTGCTGGGACACTCAGGACTGCGGGCACTGTATGAGAAGCAGTTGGCTCCCGCTGTCCCTGCTCCTCGTCCGCTGCATCTTCACGAGCCATTGGGGCCAAAACCGGCGCCTCGGCCACCGCAATGCCGCACTCTCAGGAGGCTAATGGCTGCGCCTTGTCACTGTATAGAGTATTTGGAGGAATACGGGTACAATATAGGCAGGGTCGACACGTGGGCAACAGTATCTCGAACCCAAATCATCCCTGACTGAGGTAGAGAGACAACAGACACGAGCGCCCCTCACAGGTGATCTGAGCGCTCTGCGGCCGATGAGTCGACGAGTCAAATCGCACGAAGGTTCTACGCCCTGGAGCCAAGCCGCGGCACAAGAACATGCGATGGTTAAGCCAGGGCTTTGCGGCTTTGCTCACCTCCACCTGACTCAAATTCAGGTCTGTTTGGCACTGCGGCCATAGTCTTGCACAGGCCATTGATCGACCACCACATTAAATGAGGTTGAGACACGTACCCGACTGCATCTTGCAGCATGATCGTCACTCTCAACTACTGCGTTAAGCAGCGATTTGGGTGAAACGTAGATTCGTTAACGGGCGCAGGTCAGCACGGCAGCCTTTGCAAACTTTAAGGTCCCTTTTCGGGGGGATCTTCGCATTTGGGCTGTAAAGGCTGTTGCTGCCAGCAGTGAGTGAGACCATGCTCTCAAGGCGACTGCCATGCAGAGGAGCAGGGCAGGCAAGATGCTGCCTGACGCTAGATCGCCAAGGCAGCATGTGCCTCCAGAGTCGAGCTGCGTCATTGAAACGAAGGCAAGTGCAGCAAAAATATTAGGGGTTGCGCAATAGGTTGCAGATGCGACATGTTATGGTAAGCTTTCGATATGGGGTTGAATCGAAGTCTGACCCGCCTGCTCTTTTCATTCTCTCGGCCCTCCTCCGCGCATGTTCTCCTGCGAAGCTTCGTGGGACGCACATGAACAGCAGGCTACTTCTTTAGGGTTCACAGGCGCAGTCTTCGTGCCGACAACACCCGTAGTCTATAGATATATGTCCATTTGGCTCACACACCCCCCCCCCCCATGACCCACTGTGAGGCCGTGTCGGAGTAAGAAATCCATATTTAGTCATAGGTACGATTTAATAAGAACCCTATTAATTGAATGAAAACCCTATGAAAATTAATACGAACCCTATTCAAATTTATGAGACTCTTATGTGTCTGTATATATAAATTTAAATATATATATATATATATATGTATATATATATATATATATATATATATACATGTAAACATATACTGATATAAACATCGTGTAAAACCCGCCACTCTACATGAATTACCAAAAAACCGGCCCAACCCTGAGCCCTAAACCCTGAGCCATAGAGCCTACACTGGGCCTGGACGATATTCACCCCAAACACTATAAACTCTATCAGCTCTCAAATTTATGGTCACCGAACTGTAAGGCTCCGTATGTTAACAGGCTCCCAACAAGGAACCATAATTCAGAGAAACCCCCATAAGCCCCCAACCACCGTGGACGAAACTCTCAGCGTCCGTTAACGCCTAAACCCTAGTGCCCTACAAACCCAAACACCCAAGTGGCTCCTTGATGAAGTTCTTCCGTCGGCTCGTGGAGGCTTTCTGCAACTGCGCCTCCATCTCCCTCGTAAGCCTGCGTAAGGGTTTCGGGTTTAGGGTTGAGTTAGGGGGACAAACCCTAAACCCTAAACCCTAAACCCTAAACCCTAAACCCTAAACCCTAAACCCTAAACCCTAACCCTACATAAACCCGAAACCCTAAACCCGTAGGGTTCTCATAGACCTAAAGGGTTTTACAGACATGCCCTGCCTGGTCGCGACTTTCGGCTTGTCGACCACCGGCGCGCTGTACTTCGGGTGCGTGCCCTTGACCATGTAGGACCAGAAGACGTCCTGTCCGCGCCGTGCTTAGATCCCAAAACCTGGCTGAACCGGCAGGTACCCTAAACCCTGAACCCTAAGACTTCCATACTGGCCCGCAGTTCTCTCGTTTGAGAGGAAACATTGTAGCCTGCTACTGGGCAAGCAACGCGAGCTACTGAGATCAGACCCCTCTCAAGGGCTCCTCCGTCTGAATGATCAGCTTGCCCTGGACCGGCTTGCCATACTCCGTGGGCTTGTAGGTAACCACCTGGGAAGCTAAATTTTAAAGGCCTAAACCCTAACCCTCAGGATTTATCAAGGCATGCGGCATAGTAAAGGTGAATGCACTTGTCAGACATGCACAGTGCCGAGAGGCAAAAGTTGTTCCGCTAGTTCCCGCAGGCTCCAGAACTCCTGGCAGTCGGTTTGGAGTTCAAGTAGAGGGGTTTGGGGTTTTAGGGGCGCAGGTTTGTGGGAACCAGGCTAGGCTTCACCAGGCACCCCTCCTGACGTGGGCTGCACGGTGAACTCGTACGCCGACTCTGCATCAAAGAATGCTTCAAACTCGGAGTACACGCTGGTGTGGTTGTTGAGCCTGAAAGCCACCTCAGCGGGAACCCGCCCTTAAAAACCCTCGGGAACCCACCTGTAAGAGCCCTAAGATTCACCCGAACACCCTCCCCCCCCCCCCCCAAAAAAAAAAAAAAATAAGCCCTATTGCACCTCAAAAGTCTTATATCGACTTTACAACAATAGTACGAACGTCAGCAAGAACAACTGCTACCACTAATGTGAGAGCTTTCTTTCGACTACCACCAGCTTACTCTGCGGCTCGAGTAGTCTCTGAGAACGGTAAAGTCGAAGCACGCTGGCTGGCTTGTTCAGCGGCGACTGGATCGAGATCACGTCGTCCACCTGGCCAAGGTCTGTGAAGGGGTAAGGCAGGTCAGGATGTCGGGTTCTCGGTCTGGGGTCCAGGAGGACAGGGTGTGGGCCTTGTGTTTCATTCAGGCTTGGGCAGGTTGTTTGCTTTCGGCTTCCGTTTGAAAGCCAAGGAAATAATCCAATGACTTCAGTCTATAGCTGTCTGTAGCCTGTGGCTCAGAACAACCCCCAGAATCCCCAAACCCAAATGGCCAAAATGCCAACAAGGAGCCCTTTAGTCAGGGCACACCAAACCCCCCTCAACCCCCCCCAAAACCCCCCTAAACCCCCCTAAACCCCACCCCCTGACCCCCTAAACCCCCCTAAACCCCCTAAACCCCCCCAAAACCCCCCGCGAAACCCCCCGCCAAACCCCCCAAACCCCCCAAACCCCCCCAAAACCCCCAAAACCCAAAACCCCCCCAAAACCCGTAACCCCCCTACACCAACCCTACCCCCCAAACCGCCCCCCTAAACCGCTAAACCCTCCTAAGCCCCCCTTAGCCTAAGCCCCCCTATGCCTAAGCCCCCCTTAGCCCCCCTAAGCCCCCAAGCAACCCCGAAAACCCCACCCCCCCAAAAAAAAACCCTAAACCCCCTAAACCCCCCCCTAAACTGGAACCCCCCCAAACCCGCAATGGAGCCTCCGGCTCGGTCGCTTCCAGCTTCAGGTCGAATCTCCAGCGGCCACCAGAGGCCCGGGTGATGACCAGGTTACCTTCAGAGTTTAAGGGTTTAGGGTTCAGGGTTCAGGGTCTAGGGTTTAGGGAAGTGCAAGGGGGGTTTGCAGAAGGGTTTCGGGGCGTGTCAGGGGGGTGTAAAAACGGGCGGAACGGGGGTTGTAAGGGGGATGTAAGGGGGCTTTAAGGGTGTGTAGGGGCGGTAGAGGGGGTGTGAAGAAAGTGTTGGAAGGTGTAAGGGCAAGGCGGGTTCTAAGGGTGGTTTCGGGGGCGTGTTAGGGGAGGTGTAAAAGGAGGTAAGTAGTAGTAGTAGTAGTAGTAGTAGTAGTAGTAGTAGTAGTAGTAGTAGTAGTAGTAGTAGTAGTAGTAGTAGTAGTAGTAGTAGTAGTAGTAGTAGTAGTAGTAGTAGTAGTAGTAGTAGTAGTAGTATTACGGCTCAAGGTTTCAGGGGTGCGTGGTTGGCCTTCAGGCTTCGTTCGCACCATGCTTTAGACTCTACAGCCTCAGAGCCCATGAACTTAACAAGCTCCACTTTGGGCGCATGGCGTCTTCCGTAAGAGTCCTACATGGCAGGGGCCCACACTGGTTGCGGGGTACTCGTGGGGGAGGCAGGGGGGCTGAAGCCGACCGAATTGAGTCTCTCGAGAAGTGCTGTGGGGATCTGCTTTTGGGCCTTTGGGTTTCGGGCTTCAGAAGGGCATACGGTACTCACAGAAACAGCCTCTACTGCTTTGGCTTCTGGCTGTCTTCCGTCATGCCACTCAACCTCCACCGGATGATAACGATGCCTCGTCTTTGGACCCTGAGCGTAAGGCCCCAACTAGATCCTAAACCCTAAACCCCAACCCCCAAACCCCAAACCCTAAACCCTAAACCCTAAACCCTAAACCCTAAACCCTGACCCTACAGGCCCTAAAGCCCCATGTCTGCGGCCAGCCGGCAGAGAGCAATGAAAGGCCGAAGAGGGCTGAAGTTCACCTCCGATGCTTCCGCTGTTCCGGCAGAGGAACACTATAAAACCGTATCTTATGTGTATGTGTAGATATATATATATATATGTATACATATTCTTATTTCTTTTGTATTTACTTATGTAGATATGAATTTACTTATTTATTTATATTTGTACTTATATTTATATGGATATGCATGTACTGTTAAATTTCATTCGTGTTTTGATTCCTAGGCTATCACATATGTGTATATATATATATATATATATAATGTATGTACAAGTCATGTGTGCAGTAAACCCAGAAAACCAGTAAACCCAAAGAAAACGCGAAACGCCGGGGCTCCAGGAAGGCTGTTGGGGTGGCCTCGAAAGACCCAAGAAATGAGATCCGCCAAACCCTAACCCTAAACCCTACACCCTAAACCCTACACCCTCAACCCTAAACCCTTACCCCTTAACCGTACACCCTAAACCGTAAACCCTAAACCCTAAACCCTAAACCCTAAACCCTAAACCCTAAACCCTAAACCTCAGTCCTAAACCCGAAACCTCAACAAGCGGGGGGCGCCTTCAGCATGACTTGCCCATCGGCGGCCCTGCTGGATCGCGCCTTCGAGGCCTGGGCTGTCTGCTCACCGGCACCGAAGGGTTCAGATGTGCCTGTGTGGGTTTAGGGTTTAGGGGTTTAGGGGTTTAGGGGTTTAGGGGTTTAGGGCTTAGGGCTTAGGGCTTAGGGCTTAGGGTTTGGGGTTTTCGGCTGAAGGTTTAGGGGGAGGAGGGGAGCCCAGTTCTCTAAGTGATGGTCCATGTTGGGGTATCCCCAGATTCCCATGAACCTCTCGCGTAAATTCAGAGAACTGCCTATGCTGCACACGCTGTGCTCATGGTCTCTGGGCACCCGAACCTGACTGGAGGCTGTTCTCACAGGTGCCTTCGCTCAGAGCACAGCTGGGTGGGAGGTGGGCCTGCACAAAGAGAAGCATGGAGCAAGACGAGGCCACTCCCAGCCTCGCTGTCCAGGTTGATGTCAAAGCACTTCGAGACCTTAAAGCGCTTACTGATCTAAAAGTAAGTAGCATAGCATAAAAAGAAATCTAGCATCACAATATATTTGGGGTTTGTGGATGCCTTCCATGCTGTACTGGGCTTTGCCGTGTGCGTCGCTGCCAGGCGGCCATTGCCTGATGTTGCGGTGGCACCTCCAGCTGGCATGACAGCTGGTCGCCGTGCCTTCGGGGACTTCGAGACAGGCACGCATGGGAGTTTACGAAAACAGGGGACCCCCAATCTAGATCCCCAAGTAGTAGGATCCCCGACAAAAAAGGAACCCCAAAAAGGTACCCCTAATTTCGGAAAACCCCTCGTGACCAAAATTGGAGTTGTTGCTTTCTGACCGCTGCCTGTCCCCAGGTGTGGTGTCCAGGCCAATCAGAGTCAGGGCATATGTAGTTTGCAAGGACTCGCGGGCTTGCACCTCAGTTTCAAGGCTCTGGAGTCAAGCAAGTCTCAGCCGTGCGTGGTCAGAGGCACACTGCTCCTCCATGCTTGGGGCTCACTAGGCATCCTGCGGTGAACGTGTGCAAGGTCGGGTCGGCCGGAGCCTCGGCGACTCCCTGAACGCGGTACGACCACGTCAGGTTGGGCTTCATCACCTCGGCACCGCGGCTGCGTACGGGGGGGATCAAAGGGGGCTCTCTTCAAATTAGGACACCCTTTTTTTCGTGTGGTCCTTGCAGAGAGGATCATACACTTTCTTGGCTGCACTCAGGAGGTAGCTATAAATTAAACTTTTAGCTGCCTTATTAAGAAACCCAATAAACCCAAAAAAGGTAAGGATCTAAAGTTACGGTAAGGTACCACAAAGTTTTGGGCAGGCAAAGAAGGGCTACCTCGGTTATGGGGACATGGCCCACATGTGATTGCAGTGCCCAACGCTGCGCAGGTGCCGAGAGGGCAATCTCTGCAGTGTGCTGCGTCATCGTTGGCGGGCAGAAGGAGAAGGGGATTTGCGTAGTGGCCAATGGTCCGATCTGCACCTTGCATGATGACCATCAAGGGAGGCAGAACCCTAAACCCCAAACCTTGAATCCTAAACACTAACCCCTAACCCCTAAACCCTAACCCCTAAACCCTAAACCCTGACCCTAAACCCTAAACCCTCAAACCCGAAACCCATGGACTCCCACGCTCCATGTCCTGCCTTCGCCTTCTTGCTCAAGAGGTTGAAGACGCCCTTCTCGCTCTTGGACTCCAGCACAATGAAGATGGTGATTGTCTCAAGGAAAGGGTTCCTCAGCATGTAGGGTTTTTGGGTTTTTTTCACGTTAAAAAACCCTAGATGCCACAACGGAAGAAGAGGATAGGGCGCCCGAAGTAGGGTCTACGTGATTTAGTGTCCCTGGAGTCTCCGGAGAGCCGAGCAAGCAGCGGAAAACTATGCACATCACGAAGACTGCCCCCAACGCAAAAGCTGGGCTACATGCGACTTGAACCCTGAACCCTACACCCCCTAAACAACCCTAAACCCAAAACTCTAGACCCCAAACCGATACAACCCTCAAGCCTCAAACCTCAGCCGGGCCGCTTGAACTGGATGGTGGAGGACACCGTGCGGTTCACTTGTGCCGCCACCGTGACGCTGCGTGCTTCCAGGGGCGGCAGGCCCAAGCCCTGAGCCTCCAAGGGAAACCCAAGGTTCGGGTTGGGGTTGGGGGCTTAAGGGTTTGGGGTTTACCGTTGAGGCTTTAGGGTGTGTGAGGCTGTGTAAGGGTGTGTGAGGGGCTGTGAGGGGGTGTGAGGGGGTGTGAGGGGGTGTGAGGGGGTGTGAGGGGGTGTGAGGGGGTGTGAGGGGGTGTGAGGGGGTGGGTGTGTGACGGGGTGTGAGGGGTGTGAGGGATTTCGGCTTCGGGGCTTAAGGTCGCTCGTAGCTGATGATTCATGCTCAGCTTCCCTTGGCCACTCCATCACAGGGAGCTGATGCTCATGATCCTCGCCCCCCCCAAGGGAAGGAGCTCGCAGCAGATCCTCTGGCTGACTAAGTACATCCAGCTTTGCTGGGTTTAGTTTAGCCCCTAAACCCTAAACCCTAAACCCTAAACCCTACAATTTAAGGGCAGCTCACTGAAGTCACATCTGCAGCTCACGCTCTGTGCCCCCCAAGGCCTTGTAGACCCAAGATCCGATCGAGGGATGCTCAAACACAATCTGCGCTTCCTCCGTGACACCTCAGCTCGTCCGCAGCTCGTCCGCGTGACGCTGCAAAAAGCCGGGCGGCTCTTATTATTAGTATCTTATCATTATTAATATGATTATTACTATTTTTATTATTGACACTATTATTGATATTATTATTGATGTTATTACTTTTCTTATTGTTACTACATGCCGAGGCTCCAAGGGAGGATGGGCTATACTCGATGGTGATCTCGGTGGACTCCAGGGGCGGAAGGATGATCCGGTTGTTCATGACCTTGCCCCCCGAGCGCAGGGAAATTCATGCCACCTCCCCAAACCCCTAAACCCCCTAACCCCCCCTAAACCCCCTAAACCCCTAAACCCCCAAACCCCCAAACCCCCAAACCCCTAAACCCTCAACCCTAAAAGCCCAAACCAGACCAAAGGCACCTTGAAGTTGATCTTGTTCGTGGAGCGATGTTTCAGCGCCTCAGAGCAAACGATAATCGCGCAAAGCATCCCGTAAGCTCCGGCTAGGAGGTAGGATTAGGGGGGACCCTTGGGGATATAGACCTCTGAATGAGGTCGCTGTGTAAGAGAGCCAGAAGAGGGTTGAGAAGGGGTCCCCTTTGAAGGCTCTCCCTAATCCCACCTGGGATCCGGAATATCCCACTCCGTGCTTTCCAGGCGAAGCGAAATTCGAACCCGAAAACTTGGGATGTTCCCCCTTGTACTAACAGTCCTTGCTGGGAATGAAAATAGGGGTACGATAATCCCTAATCAGGACTGTTAGTTCAAGGGGGAACATCCCAACGCAAAACCTCCATATTTGTATAATCCCCCCCGGTGTAGGCCGAGCTCTGCACCACCTCCTGCCCAGTTGGATTGTCGACCTTCACTGTCGTCTGCGCAGTCCTGCACGCAACGCTCCAACGAGAAGGGCTTAGGGTTCCACAACCCGAAACCCTACGCAACCCTAACCTATCAAACCCTCCACCCCATGAACTATGAAACCCGGGTCTGGTCCAGTCTCACTAAACCCTTAACCCTTAACCCTCCAGCCCTAAACCCTCAACAGTCGACCGCCCCGACTGGGTCCTGCCCAGCTCGCACTGCAGGAGAGGGATCTCCTCGGGCAATGCCGCTTCGGCGATCAGGGAGAGGTCATACCAGAACTCCCCTGTTCGCAGCGATGCGGCTTAGGGGTTGGGGTTCAGGGTGCAGGGTTCGGGGTTCAGGGGTTAGGGTTGAAGACACAGGGTAGGATTTGTCATTGGGACCTGCGTCTTGTATATGATTACAAGATAGAGCGTACGATTTGTCACGGGCTTTGGGCAGTGACAGGGGGTTCAATTCCTTACAAGGTCTCTGTATCTTGTGATATCACAGACGAGACCGCGGGTGGCATTGGGCTCTGCATCTTGGGATATCACACACGAGACAGAGGGGTTGTGGGCATTATATTCCGCATCTTCTGAGATCCATTGGGTTCTGCATGTTGGACCGAAGGCGTGCAATGTAGGGAGTTAAGGAACTTTTGCAGATTAAGCAGAAGATGAATAGCCGAAGAGAGGTGTGGAGCCAAGTCGGGGGTACTAGTAGCTGCGGGTAGCTTTGGTGTGAGGAAGTGAGAGCAGAGGCAGCGTTGCGACCTTGATGAGTTGGCGGCCGTGGGATGTTCTGAAGAGGGGGTTTAGGGGGGTCCTGTTTGCAAGACATCCCTCCACCCTAGCCTCTCAGCCCCCTACTTCGACCCTAAACCCTAAACCCTAAACCCCAAACCCTAAACCCTAAACCCCAAACCCTAAACCCTAAACCCTACTCCCAGCCTACGACCTCGTTGAAGAAGACAGCGGTGCCCTTGGTTCTCGCTGGAAGGAGTGGGCTGAAGACCTCGGTGAGCACAAGACCATGTTGAAATCTGCTTGCATTGGGAAACTGAGAATAGGGTTTAGGGTTTAGGGCTTAGGGTTTGGGGTTTAGGGTTTAGAATTTAGGGTTTGGGGTTTAGGGTTCAGGGTTTGGGGCTTGGGGTTGCTTCAATTCCCGCAAACAGCCAAACTGCACGTGACGAGGCATGCGGCCATGCTCTCCTGAAACCCATTTGTGTGTCTCGATACCCAGGCCTTCCCTACATCTTGAACCCCCATCATGTGAGCGTCCGGCCAGCTCGTACGTCGCAGTCTCTTTGGGGGCCAGGACGAACTCTGCCTCGCAACAGCATTCCAAACAATTACGCCACCCAAGCAAGGCTTTTGATTCAAATCCAAGAGCTCTCTACTCCTCAAAGCCGGATGCCGCACCCCCTCCCCCCGATGTACATACCACAGGCAGCGTGAGAGCGCATCTCTGCAAAGAAAGGGTGCGCCAGCCGCTCCCTCGCCTCACCGAGGAGCCCGTCGCCATTCAAGGCCACCTCTTTAGGGTTTAGGACTTTAGGCTTGAGGGTTTAGTGTTTAGGGTTTAGGGTGTAGGGTTTAGGGTTTGGGGGCCCTAAAACCCGTTTCTTGTTGTTTGTTAAAATGTGGGACAAAATTTGGGGGTTTAGGGTTTAGGGTTTTAAGGGCTTTAAGGGCTCTGAGGGCTTTAAGGGTTTAGGAGCTTAGGGCTTAGGGGTTTAAGCCTTTAGTCTAAATTTCCTGGGAGTACGTTGATGTCGACTTTAGGGTATTTCAGGGGCACATAGCCACGCTACCCCCCAGAACGATTAGGGGCGTTCCGAAATAAGGAGTTTTTGTTGGGGGAGGAGGGGGGTACCGCGAAGAGGATTCTGCTGTGTTTTGGGGGTAGCGGCTTTGGAAATGTGGTTTGTAAGGTGGGCTGTTTCTTCTGAGGCATCTGAGGTTCGGAACGCTGCTGGCGCCTCGAATACCACGACGTCGTCCAGAGGATTCACCAGCTGGATGTCAACCGCCACTGCCTGCAGCTGGACAACAAGGGTCACCCTAAACCCTGAAACCCCAAAACCCCCCAGCCCTCAAAACCCCCCAACACCCCAAAACCCTAACACCCCCAGGTGCCTGCCGCACCACGCACGTCAAAGTGAGCTGCTGCTGCGGCTTCGGAGGAAGCGTCATGAGCTCGACCTGGGAAAGGGGCCCCAACGGCCCTACCGGTACAATGAACTTCCAAGGTTTTTGGGGTTTTTGGAAGTAAGGGGTTTAGGGTTTCCTGTTTAGGGTCTAGGGCCTACCAAAAGCAAGGCTTCGAGCTGTTGAAGTGCTAGAGGTTTCGGGGGGACAGAACACTTTGCGTGCGCAAGGGCAGCTCAAATCGCCGACAAGCTGCGGTGTACCAGGTGAAGTGCCCCGTGTGGGTATCCCGGAACATGATGCAGCCTCGCCGATTCGTGGAGCATGGCTTACTTTTGGGTAGGTTCTTGATGATGTACCGCCTTCAAGGGCTCATTCTATCTAAGGTTTGCCTATGAAGGCAAGTTTTGGGTTCATAAGGTAGAACCCTAAACACTGTTGACTCTACCCCGCCCCCCCCGGCCTGTGACCTGGCCAGCCTGCAGGGGCTGAAATACCAGCTCGTACTCCCCCGTGCCCCGGCCATCCACCTGATAGGAGGTGGGGGTTTAGGTGGTCAAGGAACGTTTTAAAAGTGTTCATAGCGTGCGCATTCTGTTTTTTTTCGGCAACTTGTAAGGGGGATGAGGGTAGATGATGAGCCCATTTAAGGCCTCTATGCCTCTATGCTGTTACAGTCTCTTCTGTGCAGTTTTCGGTGCATCCAGGTTAACCTGTCGCCGCGCGCCTGAATCGAGGAGGGGCCCGAGATGTGGACCAGGTCACTCTCGACCTGCCCGGCCAGGTCGGTTTAGGGTTTTAGGGTTTAGTCAGTGCGTAGGGTTTAGGGTTTAGGGTTTAAAGTGCGAAGTTCTGCATGGTCAGTTCTCGAAGTTAGCACTAGGGGCACCCGCAATGGATCATACCTCGGGGAACCCTAGTTTAGGGGCCCTTTGTTAGGTACCTTGCATAGAAGACTCCGTATTCTCCGAGGAGCCAACAGATGAAACCCCGATTTTGGGAACTCTCCATGTGGCTCTGCCTCGAACGTGGCGGTCATGTTGGAGTGGTTCTTGACCTCAGTGAGGCCAGGAATCCAAAAGAGGCCCCTCAAAAAGATGCCCTGAATTTGGCACAACCCCCAAACCTTCACAACCCTAAACCCATGAACCCTGCATTCTAACTCCTAAACCCTAAACCCTAAACCCTGAGCCCTAAACCCTAAACCCTAAACCCTGAGCCCTAAGCCCTGAACCCTAAACCCTAAACCCTAAGCCTACGAAAACCCCTTTGAGGCAAGGGGCTGAGAAGACGTGCGAGGTCTTCTCCCGCGCCTCGCACCTCGGACTGCTCCAAGGCATGGCCTTCTGGGGTGCTACTTTTGGGGGCCACTTTCGGTATATGTATATATATATATATATACACATATGTATTTGTTTTCTTAAGTTTGTTTTATGTATATATATATATATATGCTCACCCCCCCCCCCAATGGACTCCAAAAATCCAAAAGTCCAAAAGTCCAAAAGTCCAAAAGTCCAAAAGTCCAAAAGTCCAAAGATCCAAAAATCCAAAAATCCAAAGTTCCCCGGACAATCTCCCAGGAAACTTTGGATTTTTGGATTTTTGGGTTTTTGGGTTTTTGGATTTTTGGATTTTTGTGTTTGTGCTTTGTGTATGTTTTTTTGTGCTTTTTCGTGCTTTTTTGCTTTTTTGTGTTTTTTTTTGCACTTTTTGCACTTTTGTACTTTTTGTACTTTTTGCACGTTTTTGCACTTTTGGCACTTTTTTGTGTTTTTGTCTAGTTTCCCAATATTTTTGCAAATATTTGTCCTCTTGAATGTGCTTTTCCATTCCAAAAGTCCAAAAGTCCAAAAATCCAAAAATCCAAAAATCCAAAAATCCAAAAATCCAAAAATCCAAAAATCCAAAAATCCAAACATCCAAAAATCCAAAAATCCAAAAATCCAAAAATCCAAAAATCCAAAAATCCAAAAATCCACAAATCCAAAAATCCAAAAAACAAAAAAAGCAAAAATCCAAAAATCCAAAATTCTCCGGGCAATCTCCCAGGAAACTTTGGATTTTTGATGATTTTTGGCTTTTTGATGATTTTTATGATTTTTCGCACTCGAGGTTGGCTCATATTCGTTCTCCTTTTTTTGAGTGAAAGGAGGGCGACCATTCAAACGTACCCTTATCAGAATCAAATGCGTCCTACCTGCTCGAAACCTGAACACTACATTCATAGCACAACTAAATAGCATATTCAATAAAATTTTGAATATGCTGCTTCTGTATATGAGGACCAGGTAAAGTCTTGCCTATTCAAATCACTGAGAAAAGCACGTACGTGGGTTTATGCACAGACCTTTGCCAAGGAGGCTTTAACAGAGAAGGCCTCTATGTGCAAATATCGAATTTGTGCATTTGAAAGAAGCTGAAATATCCTTTTTTTCAACAAGAACCATTCTGGGATCACAGCACCTGCTGTTTAAGAAAAAGTCTATATCTCATGAACACCCTTACTTTGCGATAACGATTTTGTTTTTCTGATCCTTTAATTCAAGCTCTTGATATTGCATTGCCCCCCTGTGATTCTTACAGTAAAGCCTGCTCGAATCTCATTAACGTCTTATCTACTCGATTGAAAACTGTATGAATAAAATCCTAAGTAGCCTGTTCAAAAAGCCAATAAGGTTTTGAACATATCCTACTCGAAAAGCCAACAAGAGGTCAAACAGAAGAATTCAAGACAGTAATAGGGCTTGGGTCCAATACAGGGCTAGTGAATTGTCCACTCTAAGACTTCCCCTGGTGAAGTGAAGTGTCCATTCCGGGTAGCACAGTTCACATACTGGTACAAGAACCAGAACATGTGGACAGTCACGGAGAGAATGCTGCGCGCTTTGTTTGATAAGTAGGGTTGAGAAGGCACGCCACTCATCGTTCAGTCTTGCTGCAAAGCAGAAACTCACCGACATCCAAATTTTGTATTCACATCCTGCGACCAGAGGCCACACCGCGAGAGCGCGCTGCTACCGCGACAAGGAGGCACAAAACTTAACCGCGACAATGGAAAATACCTACCGCGACAAGGCGTCGCATGCCACGGCGACAAGCTTCTGCAGCTGCTGAAGCTACTTTTTGCTGCCCTCCCCTCCCCACCTGCTTACCTCCCCCCCCCCCCACCCTCCATACCCTCCCCCGACTCCCCTCTCTGGAAATGATGTTCTTCAGCGACAAGAAACAGCTCACAGGTCTGAAATGTTTTTGTTTTTTTCCCTGAGCGCATCCTGAGTGTCTGTGCACTCTGCACCCAAGGCCCCCTATTGCAGCCGACTTCGGCTTCACTTGTTCTTCTTGGCCTGGCAAAAGCAAGCGTGAACAAAAACCAGTTTGGGTCTCCAAAACTGATTTTTTGGAGGAGGGAAAGGGGGGTCTGGGGGGTAGCTGTAGCTGCGCAGGCGTTTATGCACATGCAGAACCCCTGCCTGCTGGCCAGCAGGAGATGGCTTCACTTGTTCTTCTTGTCCTGGCAAGAGCAAGCGTTCATAAAAATCAGTTTGGGTCTCCAAAACTGATTTTTTTGGGCGGAGGGAGGGGTGGGGGGCTGGGCAAACAAAAACCAGTTTGGATCTGCAAAACTGATTTTTTGGGGGAGGGGGGGGGGGCTTTGCGGGGGGGTTGGAGAGGGGGGGGGCCTGCCTGTTGGACAGCAGCAAGACGACTTCACTTGTTCTTCTTGCCCTGGCAAGAGCAAGCATTCACAAAAATCAGTTTGGATCTCCAAAACTGATTTTGAGGCGGGGTGGATCTGCGTGCCTGGCGGCTAGCAGGAGATGGCTTCGCTTGTTTCTTCTTGGCCTGGCAAAAGCATGCGTCACCGAGCTTTTTTGGGGGGGCTGGGGGGCTCTGCAGGACTTCACCCTCTTGAAAGGTCCTGTGGGCATTCACAAAAATCAGTTTGGATCTCCAAAACTGATTTTTGGGCGGGGTGGAGCTGGGGGGGCTTCGCCACATGTTGAACCCCTGCGTGCCTGGCGGCTACCAGGCGATGGCTTCGATGTTTCTTCTTAGGCGGGGTGGAGCTGGGCATGCTGAACCCCTGCGTGCCTGGCGGCTAGCAGGAGATGGCTTCGCTTCTTTCTTCTTGGCCTGGTAAAAGCACGCGTCAGCAAGATTTTTTGGGGGGTTCACCCTCTTGAAAGGTCCTGCGGGCATTCACAAAAATCAGTTTGGATGGGGGTACTGCGCCACACGCTGAACCCCTGCATGCCTGCCGGCTAGCAGGAGATGGCTTCGCTTGATTCTTCTTGGCCTGGCAAAAGCACTGCGGCGCCTCCTCCTCCTGCTCCTGGACCTGTCCCTTGGCGGGGACCTCTCCTTTTTGTTCTTCTTTTTCTTTTCCTTTCTCCTGCCCCTGGTCTCGTTCCTTTCCTCTCCTTTCAGTGGCTCCTTTTCCTTTTGCTCCTGCTCGTCAGAGGAGTCAGAGTCCTCGTGGTCTTGGTTCCCTTTCTGCTGGTCCAGCCACTCCTTTTCCAGGCGCTGCTGCTCAGCCTCAGCTAGCTCTCTGAGCTGCGGCCACGTTGCTCGGGGGCGCTCTGCTTTCATACGCCATTGCAAGCAGTAGAGTCCCCGTTGGTGAGCTTGCATGCCTGCTGGGCCGCCTTCTGGCCTGCGCCAACAGATCTCGCAGAACGAGCCTTTGCCTCCACGACGCCGAGGCGGCTTTGCCGCAGCCTTGCCTTTCAGGCGCAGCTGCTGTGCCTGCTTTGGCGGAAACGCAGGCTCGCTTGGTTTTCGGCGGTCCTTTTGGCCGTCTTCTTCCTCTTCCTCGTCGGAGTACTCGTAGGAAGAGCTCCTCACCTCCTCCCTTTCTTCCACCTCCTCCCTTTCTTTCTCCTTCTTGTCTCCTTCCTCGTGGCGTCTGCTCCTCGCCTCTTCCTCCTCCGACTCGCGGCTCCTCTGCTCGTTTTCCGTTTTCTTGCCTTCCCTTTTTTTGGTCCTCCCTTTCTTCTTTTTTTCCTCCTCCTCCTCCTCCTCCTCCTCCTCCTCGTCGTCCTCCTCCTTCACCGCGACCTGCGGAAAAGGAAACAGCGAGGGGCTGGTAGGGTGTGTGTGTGTGTGGGCGGGTGAAATTTTTCAAGGGTGTATTATATATACGTTTGTCCCATCCTGCCGTCTCCGGCGGCCCGCAGGCTCTGCCATCTTCAGGGGGGGCGGCCCGCAGGCTCTGCCAGCTCTAGAAAGGCGGCCCGCAGGCTCTGCCAGCTTCAGGGCGGCCCGCAGGCTCTGCCATTTGAGATGGGGGGCTGTCTGTGCTTCTGGTTTTGTTTCTACATTCTACATATGTAGTTTTGAGGGTCATAAGACAGAATGAGCGGCGACCATGACAACTACTTTATAACTCCGTAAGACAGTTCGCATCACGAGCCTTCGCGCGGCCGAGGCATCGTGCCCATGGTGGCACAGCACAGTAGACGAGCCAAGTTGGCTGCGACAGGAACATCCCGGTGGCCCACAAGCAGTTCTCCAAAGCTGTCTTGGGCTTAGGGTTCAGGATCATGGAAGCCTTCAGGCACCGAAAGTGGTTTTTAGGCCCCGAAAGTAGCGCCGTTCATGAGAAAACCAGTTTTCGGCACTGAAACTGGTTTTGGACCTCGAAACTAGGGCCTCGAAACTAGGGCCGTTCATGAGAAAACCAGTTTTTAAGCACTGAAACTGGTTTTGGGCCTCCAAACTAGCATCCTTGACCTCAGAAAACCAGTTTTAGGCACTGAAACTGGTTTTGGGCCTCCAAACTAGCATCCTTGACCTCAGAAATCCCGTTTTCGGCACTGAAACTGGTTTTGGGCCTCTAAACTAGCATCCTTGACCTTTGGGCCTCCAAACTAGCATCCTTGACCTCAGAAAACCAGTTTTAGGCACTGAAACTGGTTTTGGGCCTCCAAACTAGCATCCTTGACCTCAGAAACCCAGTTTTAGGCACTGAAACTGGTTTTGGGCGGGATGGCCTCCAGGAGGGCAGCCCGAAAAGGGCAGCAGCCAAGGAGCCGAACGAGCCAAAAAACGGCTACCGAAAACCTTGTCACATGAACCCTGACACAGCTTGTCACTGTAGGTAGCAACCTTGTCGAAGTTATCACGTAATTGTCATGGTAGCCTCACTGTCTGCCACACCGCGAAAGTGAAAGGGTGCCAGAGTGCCTGCACAGGTATAGACTAGTGGCAGCTATATAAGCATCTTACAAGCAAAGAAATCCCAAAATCCAACATCCCAAAATCCAAGAATCCAAAAGTCCAAAAGTCCAAAAATCCAAAGTTTCCTGGGAGATTGT